AAATAAAATTAAAAATAATATAAAATACTTGTTCACATTTTAATTCCCCAAGATTGAGCAAAGAGTGCTTGGCTATGATTTGATTTTTACACTAGATTATAAATTACACACGTATATATGGCATATAAATCATATATATATGTAGTTATGTATATCTAAATGGCAGTTAAAATCAGTGTTGCATTCCCTAAACAAAAGTCGCGTTTAACTTCATGATTTACAAAATATCCAATACGCACATAAATATTCTTACAAATATACAAAGCCATGCATATGAATGTTTGATTTTTAGCGAATATGTATGTATAATGTTTGTTTATAGTTAGGTAAGTAGGTATTTAGTGTTTGATTAGTTTACTACATAAGGACTCAAAGTCCGTTGCCGCCGCTAACTGCACTTCCATGATACTAAACTGGCGCTTACTCAGCGCCCGCCGAGCTGTCGGGTGTAACATTCGAGTCTAAGCTCGCACAATCAGACTCCTGCTCTTGGTTCTCGGAGTAATTCGCAGCCTCTTGTAGACGCATAAGCATGTTCAACTGCAAACATACATTAAGAAAGTTATGTTAGCTTTGTCTGTAACTAAAAAGTATGAAAATATTTGTTAACTTACCAGTGGATCCGGGTTATCACCATTGCTGGCCGCCACACCTTCCAGTCCGACATCATCTGCATTGATTTGACGAAGCGGTGGTACTGAATCGGGTCCATATGGCCATGGGTATGAGTTGCGTATGAAAATCGATGGATCATTCCAGGCGCCACCACGTCGTCCATACAGTTGTACGCCCTCGCGTACCGCCTCCACCAGATATGGTGATAAGTGATAGTTCCAGATGTCGGTAAACCACACCTGTGAGTCCTTCAAGTCCAACGGACAGGCGAGGAAGAGGCGTGGGCCGATGGTTACATCGCTGGAGCTATGCGCTTCCAAGAAGCGATTTATGTGCTGCCAAACGCCGGGCAACCATGCCAGCACAGTGGCTAGTTCGGGTTGTGGATGGCCAGTCTGTAGTTCAAGTTGGAAAAGACGGCGACGCAGAAAGCGGCCAAGGAAGCCTTTTACCGGTTCCATGTGATTGGCAGTGAGTACCTGTGTAGAGTGACAGAGAGTTATGGTTTAGTATTGATTTCGTAGCAACTTCGTAAAATAACATCTCATTGCTACGGGCAAAAATAGTACTTACCCAACGGAAATTGTGATGTAATTGCAGATTGGTTGTATTGCAAGTGGCCTGCGACATGGTGCCAATTATGCAGGGCAACTTTCCGGCAGGACCCGCGCTTAACAAGCACGAAAAAACATCACCCAAAGCTGAAGCGTGATGTAGATTATCCAATATGATCACAGATGGTAGTTCGGAAGCGCCATTCGCAATGGCTGCCTGTTCGGCTATATGGCCTAAATATTGTCGCAGCTCCTTAGAAGACTTATGATCGACGCTTTAAAGAACAAAGAACAAATTAATATTTATAATTTATTTTCACATGCAACTTCACGTCTCAACTTACTTAAATGTCGCAATCGCTTCGGAGGGATTGCCACGTCCTGTGCGCGCTACCAAAAATTCCGCTAACCTGCGTGCCAAATAGGATTTACCTGTGCCACTAGGGCCGCACAGGATCAAACGTCGATGTTCGGTCAGCAAGCTAATGTAGCGATGCACGATGCTGCGTGGTATCAAGCTATCGAAGGCGAGACTACCCACACCTTGCAGACAGATATACAGCGTGCGCACATTGCCGATAATGTAACCGCAAGGCAACAATTCGGGAAAGCCCATTTCCGGGCCACGCTTTGCCTCACCCAAATGATAGGATGTTATTGAGTCTGTATTCAAACCCAAATTGGTGCCGGGGTCGATGCGCGACACATAATCTTTGAAAGTCTTGCGCACGATATAGTCTAAATTCTGCCAAGTGGTCTTTCCCGAGATGTATGTATAGGCGACGACAAATTCGTTTAAACTGGCTGTCGGAAAGGACTTACGCTCATTGATGCCATCCGCATCGACGCCATTTGCATAGAACTCATCTGCTTCAAGCATCTCTTCACAGTACTTAACAAATGACTCTGGCTGTCCCAGATAACAAGCGATTGCGATCTTTTTACCATCAGTCACATCAGGCAGCTCCTCAACCGCAGCGGATGCAATATGCGCTGGGCTGGGAATGGTGTCGAGTGCGGGTGGCGGTGGCGTAAGATCGATATGTGTGGAGGGACTTAGTGGCGGCGGTGGTGGTTCAGGTGCTGGTGCTGGCGGTATGTTCTCCTCTTCGACTTCCTCTTCCAAACGCTTTGGCAACTCCATTGGTGGCCGCGCATTACCATCGGCTAAAGAGTAACGTCGTGACTCACCAATGGAACCGCTTGGACTAATGGCATTACCCAACGAAGCCTCTGAGCCCGCCAATGAACGGCTAGTTACCAGTTTTTGCAAGCGTTCATTATTTTGTTTCAACGACATCATCTCGGCGCGCATTTTATTTACCGTCTCCTTGAGACTCTCCAATTGTGATGCTGAACTGAGCGCCTCTAAACGAATATCGGTTAACACTAAGTCCTTCTCACGTAATTGCTTCTTCAGGTCTTCCACTACTTGATGATCCTCCTGATCGATTGCGTCGATCGGTTTTGCATTATCTATCAATGTCACAGTCTTTGCCGGACTGCCTTTCGTCGGCGAGGCATTGGCTGCGGGCAGCGGCGGCGCAGGCTGTGTAGCCAACGCAGCCAAACCAACAACGGCATCGGCGTGACTATGACCATTAACTTTGCTATAAACTGTGTTGTTGTCGCCATGTAAGCTGTGCATTACCTGACCACCGACATTATTGGCAGTGCTGCCGGCTGCGCCGACATGATGATGACCGGCGTGCCGACTAGTCTTTGATATTTTGGCATTGCGTGAGAATGCTTTGGTGAAGGAGCTACGTAACCAACCCTTTTTCTTCTGCTTTTTATCCTGCGCCGAACAGCCGGAACTGATCGAATTCAAAGAGCACATCGAATCGGAGCTGTGGTGGCGTTGCATAATACCGGTTGCAGTAGATGATGGCGTCGATGACGCTGTGCCATTAGTAATGCCATTTTGATTTGACATCGGCTGCTGGGTGATGGCGGTGCGGCCGAGTTGTTCATGTTGTTGCGTCTGCACGCCCATACTTTGCATATGCGCCGAAGTAAGACCTGCTTGTATGGACTGCTTGCGCAACAGCTCGATTGTTTGCCGCATGTCGGTTAGCTCGCCATCCTTGCGCTCGGCCGTCGCGGTCAGATGTTGCAGGCGCGACGTCATGTTGGAGAGCGACTGCTCAAAAGCGGCGACCACATGAGCCTGCAAGAAAGAATGGGTTAAAGAGGTTAAGTAAATTTCTCTCAAAAGTGAAAAATGAACGAAGTGATTACCATAATAGAAATATATGACTTATTTTGAATTTATGAAGTGTTTACTCTCTTGACACGTCTATCTAGCATATTTTACACCTTTTATAAATCAATCAGGGCTGGATGAATTGAAACGCCACCCTGAAGGTTAAGGGAATAAGACAAAAGTATCATCAAAGACGTCTCCAGATAAGAGGCTAGTTTTGGGTATCTCAGTAATGATTTCTAAACGTTCGCACTACAAAATCAGGCATACACATACATGATCAGCGTGACGAGCCGAGTCGATTTAGCCAAGTCCGTCTCTCCGATTGTATTATAGGACTAGTCTCCAGCTTTCGTTCTGAAATTTTTGCACAAGTCACAAGATCTGCTCACTCACAGATCGGACAACTATATAACAGCATATAGCTGTCAGACAAACTGACCGTTCAAATTCAAGTTCTATATATCTTATCGAAATTTGTCATAAATTATTATCCAAGGCATCGCTACAATCTCCGAGCATGTTGTTCGCACCACACTACGGTGTGGTTTGTGGGCCATCAGTCTATATTTCTTCAAAAATGATGTCGTTGAGAAAATAACCATCACGGTCGACCGTTATCGTACCATTATAATCGACTATTTGATGCCTGAAATTGAAATTCGTGGTCTTGTCGATATTAAGTTTCTTCAAGACGACGCCACTTCCCACACATCGCTAGACTCTTTCCAGTGGGGATATGTAAAGTTTAAAGTCTATGCGGACAATCCCGCTTCGATTCTGGCCATGGAGCAAAACATCAGGCTTATCATTCGCAAATTATCAGTACTAAAGATCAAACGAGTCATTGAAAATTGGACTTAACGGATGGACCATCTGAGACATAGCCGCGGTCAACATTTGAAAGAGATAATCTTCAAATAAATATCGAAGAATATTCTTTGGAACGATAATACACATTCCCTATTCAATTTGAAGTTTTTGTGTTTCTTTCTTTAACAAAAAAGTAGAGAACCTCGAAATGCACCACTCTTTAGTTGTCATCTGTCAAATTTTCTGACATTGCAAGCATTTTTAGTCGGCATTCCTCATGAAGACCCCTTTAATTCAGACCCCCAATTAATATGCATTCAAAGCCTACAAGACGCAAACCTTGAACTGGCAAATAAGATCGCTGATCGCTTTTCATAAAATAAACTGTTATTAATTCATTTTAATAGAACCGTAGACACTTTACAACAAAGCCGTACAACAACAACCAACGGCCTCCTCAGTTCTTCATATGTATGTTTGCATGTGTGACGAAAATTCACCAATAAAGATTATAATTTCAGCAAACGAGAGGTAAAAACAAACAGTGAGTACAGAAAAGTACAAAAATTCAGAATAACTCGAAGCCAACTTGAGCAAAAAGTAAGCCACAAACAACAAACAATGGGCGCAAGGCGCAGCAATGTAACAATGAGCCAGCGGAATTAGCGGGTGGGCGCGCTGTGCAACATTCCAAGTAACGCAACCAGCAACAGAACAATGCATGCAACCGCAGATGGCACGAAACAGTTGCAACAACAACAACAATAGCAACCACGTACAATAGCATAGCAAACGCCACTATCGGGTACAAGAATACAGTTAGCCGCAGGAATGTAATAATTTACGAAATTACAAAGTGCAAAAATTGCATGGAAGTCCGAAGCTGGAAGCTAGAAGATCGGCGCTGTTGCAGCGCGCACGCTGCGAGTGGTGGCATAAAAGAATTGTGCAACTACTGATTGAGCTGCTGATTTTGCTAGTTAATAACTGTGTGCATATAATATAATATAATTTAATATATATGTATGTGCAAACGCTTTATTCTTTCATTATGATTATCTTTATTTTTTGTGTGCCATGAAATCTGCGCCTGCGTGTCAGTTTGTTTAGCGTATAATCGATAAGATCGTAATGCTTCTAGGTAGCGCTGTAGATAGTCTTATTGGTTTAGGTGATGGACAAATTGCGTGTGGAGAAAATAATATAAACTTTAAAAACTAAATTATAAGATTAGGAGCCTTTGGTTATATGTCAACTATTCTGATAGAGATCAGTTGCTGTTAGAAGCCACAGAAGGAAGCTTGAAGGAAATGAATTGGTGGAGTATGCTGACCTTAAAAATGGCATTTTAAACAAAAATAATCTTTATTTGTCAAATTGGACACAGATAGGTTTTCTACGGGCGTTACGAGTTTTAGAGAGAAAGGGTCTGCGGACGATTTATGGTTCTTTGCATATTGGCAATGGCGAATGCCGCAGTCGAATGAACGCTGAGCTTTATGAGATATGCGACGACATTGTCACAGTTCAGAGAATTAAGAGAATAGATGGAAATACTCTAGCTCTAAGAATATTCGAAGCAATATCCGCCAATGGAAGGAGAGGAAAAGGAAGACCTCCACTCCGTTGCAAAGATCAGGTGGACACACTTGGAGCCTCGTTACACTTGAAATCTTCAATTGGCGCCAAATAGCGAAAAGGAAAAACGACTGGTGCGCTGTAGTAAAGTCGGCTACAAACGTGTAAGTCTACGTCAGTAAAGAAGAAGAAGAAGAAGAAAAGTATTCTACCTTATCAACAACGCTCATACTTGGTCTACATAAAACACTCAGTGAGGGTCGTGAATATGAAACAATCGTGCGAACTATCCGTCCTAATCTATTAAGGCCAAGGTTAGGTTAGGTTAAAAAGGTCGAAAGCTTGGAAAGCCGGTGCGTTGTGGTAACTAACACTCCTATATACTAATCATAAATGCCTTAATAAGTGACCAACGCGATTTGAGCCTATCTCAAATTTGTGAAGCCAGCTAATATCAGTTTATGCTTTGTCTCCTGGTTTGTCGAAAGTATGGCTGTCCAAATGTTTTCATCTCAGTTTTCTAAAAGCCCAACAATTTAGTAGGCTAGACGTTTCTATCTCGCCTTCTTCTGTGCAATAAGGTTTCTAGCCTAACCGCATTAATGAGCCCAACCCAGAAAGAACGCCTAGATTGCTTCGAGATATACTTTTCTAAGAGCAAATAGGCTATAGATCACGCTGTGAGCCAGAAGATCAACGCCTGCCAAGTTCACAAAAGGTCAATAGAAGCAGTGTGAGAATTCAGGAGAATAACGGAGATCAAATTCGGTTCGACTCCGCTATGAGTAGGGTCAAAGTATCTCCTAGCTCATCGACTTTTCTATTTCCAGCGTACAGTGAGCGAGTTCAACGTTGGTAGTACCATTATACTTTCGGAAGGAATGTTCACTACCCTGCACTTCGGAGTAGAATGTAACATTTACTGCTACCTTAGTGACAGCCACTGCAAAAAAAACTATACAATCCAAAAGTTAAGGGCGCTAGGTTGAATATTGAAGAAGTATAGTAGGAGTAGAGTAATATCTCTTATCTAGCAAACTGATATATAGATGTAAGCCTTGTCTTGCATATGAAGCCTTATCCAAAAGATCTGCACTTATTTTAGCAAAACGACAATAAAAAGGGGTCACAGAAGATATACTTGTCATAAAAAAGTAATGGCTGAACAAGATTTCTTATCTTATCATATCTTGCTATTCCTCAAAGTCAAAGGGACGTTCTTAGAACACATTAAAGGTCTTAGTCTAGGCTTATAATGAGTGCATTTGATTCCATTAGAGTCGGTATGTTTGTATTGTCGGGTATATTTTCAAGATAATAATGACTGTTTAAGATCAAGGTAAGCTGGGATCGAATTGAAAGAAGAATGTATATATACACTCCAGAAATCGTCTTCCGTGTGATAACACTAGTTTTCAATCCATTTGCGACTGTGATCCTTGAGGCTGTTTCTTGCTAATTTACGGTTACTAACACCAAAAATGGTAGTCAAAATTCCATAACACGTACAATTTTTTGTGTTGTAGGTCAAGGGGTTTAAGTGAACATGATGAAAATTTTTCGAATTCAAATTCGTAATCAGGACACGCCAAACACCGAACATATCTCTTAACACATCAGTCACACAATTTTCCTTCAGAATTGCTAACAAGTGTAATTTTCACAAGCAGCAACCAAGCAAATGAAGGTTTTTGAAAAGTGAAGCCTATTTTCGCCCCAAAAAAACTGAAATCATTAAAATTACTTTAATAACAGAAAACACTCTTATTTATTCAACCAGCAGGTTAATCCAAAATTATAGTGATTTGGTGAGCTTGAGGGTAATAAAAATAAAAAAAACTTAGTATGTACTCTTAACTATACATGTGTAGGTATGTAAACCATTGCGTGTGTGTGTGAGCGAGTAATTTGTTGTCGCATCACGTAGGTCGTTGCACATAAAATTTGATTACATCCCACGTGATGCGATGCGTCTGATAGCTGCAACGCTATGCTGACTGCCTGCATGGCTGGCTGCTACTGTCTCTAAACCTTGACTGCCGTAGGCAACGCGCGTGTGTGTGCATTTGGAGCTGGTTGCGTGCGTGTCAAAGGACAAATGTAAGTTAAGTTTGCGAGAGAAGCGGCATGATTAGAGACTGCATAGAAAAAGGTTAAGAAATTATAGTGAAAGAGGCGAATAAAGTAAGTAGTTTTTGGGAAGATTTTCTGTTGGAAAGTTTGTGGTTAAAGAAACGACACCCTTGGGAGCGGATGAAGCAAGTCGAAGCAAATAATGTACAGTGTACAAAGTGAGTATTATTTTTCTATTTTTGGGAGAGTTTGTAAGCGGTTTATGAAATTGGCTTTTGATGTATGAAAAATATATATGTATGATATATATGTATAATATATATTTTTTTAATAAGTTGGGGATCTAGATCATGAACTCGTTGAACAAAAAATTACAATTTTTAAAACAAAATTTCCAAAATTTTAACAAAGCCACAACTAAGTAAGCGCTATACATATAGCGAGAAGCTTTCAGCAGCGTCCTCTAATTAATAACAATTCAAATGCATAACACAAAATTT